TTCTTAACATTGAGCCTCAGTCCATATTGTAGGCTGCAGTCCTTGACACTCTGCAGCAGGTTAGCTAAATCGATCTTGCTTGCACCTCAGGAACTTTGGAGATTTTGTCCCAAATGGAACATGCTTGTGGAATCGACAGTGGACCTAATGGAGCGGTGGGGCAGATACTGATTTCCATGCACTGTTCTAACTGTCCTTAAAGACTGGCCACATGGGAGAGAAAGAACACATATTTGGCCTATGGGAAAGGAGGTGGTAAATGCACTAAAAAGGCCAAAGTCATTCATGAACTTTAGTCAAAATCACTGCTCATCATCTGTTGAGAGGAACACAGAGAGTTAGGGGTGTGTTGGAGTCTGTTGGGGGAAAATACCACTCAACACTACAGATGGCTAACATAGAAATTCATACTGAAAGAACAGGAATCAATCTAAATATCCTTTGAACGCATGATTATTATGTGAGGACCATGGGCGTTTTTTGAAAATTCCCTCTACTGAGGCAGAATCACCATATCTTTATCCAAAAATAAAGTGTAATAGCGTGCGATTTTTTAGTTTGAAAAATATGTTATGGATTATAGGGACTACAAATCATTTGGCAGCATTGAGTTAATAGGCGGGATCTATATTTCCTGTCCTCCCTTCCACATTAGTTCATCAATAATACATGGCGAGTGTGAAGCTGTGTGTCTTCTAAATTTAAGCCTTACACCCTTAGAATATTCCCTTTTGGGGAAATTTGAGAAGCCTGACTAGTTTAAGGCCGCCATGTTGTGAGGCAAGTCAAGTAGTCTGTGTGGAAGGGACACACGGAGAAGGAGCTTTACGTGGAAACTTGATTACGATCATCATCCAAGCCCCAGCAGTGGGCATGACAGTGAATCTGCAATATTGAGCTTTGCATACGCAGGGGATGTCATGAGGGTGAAAAACTCAGCTGAAAACTAGGACAAAGGCCTTAGACATTGACCTTGTTTGGCTGTCTCAGATATTTCTATCCTCCAAAGCACTCAAATTGAGGTTTCAGTGATTGCTGAAAAGAGATAAATGGTTTTGATTTTGTCTAGATTATATTATTGACTTACAAAATAATAGTTGTTTCATGTTACTAAATATTGGGAGTATTGTGTTGCCAAACTACACCGGAAATATTAGAAGAGCTGGGCATGAGACTTTACTACTTATCAACTGCGTGATGGGACCTTCTAAAGAATCAAATCCCTATGCACATCCAGAAACTTCTCCAACAGGGTCAAAAGGGAAGCCACACACTGGGAAAAAATATTTGGTAAT